AACGTTTCAAGAGTTGGAGTTCCTTGCGGACTTCCGCCTCATTTGGTGGATCAGTCGTCACCGGCCATGGAGGGCAGGACAATCTGACCGATGTTGCCGGAGCAGCAGGCCAGTTGAACTGCCCTTCGAAGAATTCTGCCCATCGTCCAAGACGTCGATGGATGTTAGTGATTGGCGTTCCGTCATCCTCGCAGATTGTTTCGCTCACACCAAACTTCTTGCTGCCAGTGGCTCGGATGAGTTGGAAGAGCTTCCGGTAATTACCAGATGCAGCTGCTGCTTCCAACTCACTGGCACGCTCCGACCACCAGGCTTCACGGTCCTTACGCAAGCTTTGCCCGATTTCATTACGTAACATCCTTCGTCTGTGGTCAAACTCACGGTCACCCGGAGTAGACCGACGGGCTTCAATCAGTTGTAAGGAACCAGTGCTTGTAAGCGGGACGTTTCGCAAACCCACAACAGACTGTACCCGCCATTTTCATGGCGTCATGCAATTGCAACCAATGCTCATCTATACTTTTCGGTGGAATGGCAGCTAGCCTAGAAGCTAGCTCGGTTCGGTACTTACTAGCAACAGAAGTTGCAGCCAGCTTGCTAACATCAATCCTGTGGTGGCGGTCACTTCGTTGTCCACTGAAAAGTAAGGTAAGATTGGCGCAGACCAGAGCATGATTAGATTCCAGATAGGTACTCCAAAAGGAGCGGAAGTCTTGTACACAACCGCGCCAGCGGTAGCTGATCGCGATGTGATCAATCTGAGTCCAGGCTTGAGATGCAGAAGGGGGACGCCAGGTGGCACATCGGCGATGACTGTGCCGAAAGTTAGTGCTAGCCAGAAACAGGTTGTGGTCTGTGCATAGTTGCAGTAGACGTTCCCCGTTATCTGTCCTGCGACCAACGAGTCCCCATCGGCCACCTAAACGACTCTCTTCTGTGCCTAGCCGCTCGACCTGAGCATTCAAGTCTCCAGCTAGTACTACAATATCTGTCGAACGCACTTTCTGGAGAAGAACAGTTAGCTGGTGGTAGAACTCGTCCTTGATTGCATCCGGGCTGCAATCTGTCGGGGCATAGGCGGAGATGACGAAAAGACATCGTTTCTCACGCCGATTTCTTCTCACTTTGATGGAACTTTCTAATCTAACAGCACATAACCGACTGTTAATGTGGATACAGTCGACTAGTGCTGCTTCAGCTCTTGCGCTTAGTGCGACACCAACGCCAGCAAGACCAGACGAAGATGCCACAGGGTCCCCGGATAAACGCACATAAAACAAGCTTTATGAAGCGACAGATGGAGAGCGGACTTGTAGTACTTCACCAGAGTCTTGAATACGGGTCTCGGATAGACAACACACGTCAATATTAAGACTTTCCAAAGACATAGCCAGCCCTATCTGTTGTCCGACCTGCATAAGTGTGCGAACGTTGAAGGCAGCCAGTTTGAATGGTGCACGTGGTTTCAGAAAAACTGCTTCTGTACTGATATTCGGTAGTAACATACAATTTTCAACCAGGCAGTGACTCAAGAACGTTTAGATAAAGCTGAATTTTCACCATAGGCGAGCTGCTGTCTGAGTCGAAACGGATACAAAAAGTAGAAATAGGAGATAGTGAATAAATGACGTAGTAAAGAATAATAATAATACCAGTCATTTCAATGTTAGTCGGAGAGAAACGAGTATTTTCTATAAGCAGATAGTTCATCATAGTTTTATTGTGTGGGCTGAGATACTGCCCGGGTGCCCAAACCGAAGCAGGTGGTTTTCTTAGGGGGCCACACCTCGAGCCTTTGACCTAAAGGTCTAGTCCACAAGGCAGTGGAGCATCGTGAGGAGATGCAGTCCCATGGAAGCCGGTGACCAAAAGTTGGTTCATACGCCATTTGTTCCTTCAGGAAACTGGAGTCCATGTGCACCATTGATTTGAGATCCGGATTTGAGCGCCGGACGTTCGCTTTTCGTCCTCTCATTTTCGTAAACAACACCCTCGCCACGAGAAGGCAGTGAGTAGGACTTCCCTGATAGGAGCCATATACGCGTGGCCGTGTGAGAGTATTTCGAGAGGGAGGGCGAACCCACCCCACTCTCGGCCATACCAGGGCATTTGGGGGCTTTCGCGAAATTGCAGTATACTGTGTAGGGAATATATTGTTTTACGTACTACAAACGTCCTACGTGATAGATATGTTTGGAAACTGTTTTTATACACTAAAATTATAAAACACTTGTATACAAACACTAGAAATCTATTACTAAAGAGTTTGAGACTATTCGAAATTTGACAGTACTACGTTTCACTGTGATAAGAAATTTTCTGTCTGATTACTGTCAATAAATTGGTTTTGACTTAGGCACTGGAATTTTCAGACGATGAACGAGAGAAACTGCATAAACGCGCGTTAAAGATGAAACGAAAATCACAGACACCAGGTGAGTTATTTATACTTTTCTTACAATTGCAAAAGCCTAATTTCGTTTACCGTCTAGTTAATACTTTGTTTGGAAGAGAAAAATTAATGTATGAGAGAGTAGTTAAGTAAAATGAAAATTAAGATTATAATCACATCTTGTAGCTAAGTCGATATTTATCCACTCAATAAAACTTTTCCGATGACAAGCTATCTCCGCTCTTTGATAATCTAATCTTCGTCAGCAAAAATTTATCGTTGAGAAAGTAGCTAAGACGTTGTGTTAGACTTGCTGAAGCAACTAAACTTATTTTTTTAAAATAAACTTGCAAAATAATGAATCTGAAAATCACAGAATTTGAACAGTATGGAGGGAGTAACTAGAAACGTAATCCGGTTATCACAGACTACAAATGTCGAAACATGTTGTAGAAAAACATTGGCATGATCAAATTACATTTCCGTATATTAACAGCCTATGAATGACTAGAAAAACGTCACTTTGGAATGCGCTCTTTTATTCGTGAAAGTTTTATGCATTGTCAGTATCAGTAAGTGAACACCACTTTTAACATATTTAACAATTATGAGCATAAGAGTTTAAACCATATTTGCTTTGATTCCGAACAGAACCAACGAAGTCAACCCAAATGTTAAGCCAGCCAAAGAAGTGGCATAGTAAACCATCATTTGGTGTAAAGAAACATCCAACTGCTTTTGCATCGAGCGTTCAACCCTTAGATCGTGCCTGTGCATATTCACTTCAACAACAATCCTGTAGCCTAAGACCTTGCATGCCCATCCAATCACCAAATCACTGGAATATGTATCCTAGCGTTCAACCTCAATGGCAAAATCCAAATTATGGTCACAGCAACTGGCCTTCCGTACCTTCATACCCTCCGACAGTACAGAATCCTTATCCACATGTACTGCGAAACCCAATAACGCCACATCCATTTCCACATCATTGTACGTTTGTCGGTAAAGCATTCAATTTCTATAATATATCATATTTTCCTCTACAAGGTTAATCTGCTTAAAAGTCATATGCTATCAAACTGTTTGTATAATTATTAGGTATTGGAAAATTGCTTTTTTCAACATCAACTATGGTTTCTATGTAATTTAGCAACAAACGTATCCAAAACCCATTTCTAGATTCATATCTACAAAATACGCAGTCAAAAACATGCAAATGAAATCAGATACTAGCGGTTTGGGACAAGAGACTTGTTTCTATTAGCATTTGACGTAGGATTTTTGGCTTGTCTTTCAACTATTGTGATTAGTCGTCTACAAAAACATTGTTTAGATTGCCATGTTAAAAAAGAGTTTGTAGAATTTACACCTCTACTAAATCCCTATAGAACTACGAAGCCAATCGCTTGAATGCAGTTAGAAATCTATGGAACTATAACTTTGTCGGTACTGCACGAAGGTCAGTCAGTCAAGGTGCCCCCAAATGCCCTGGTACGGCCGAGAGTGGGGAAAGTCCGCTCTCCCTCTCGAAATGCTCTCATATGGCCACGCGTGTATAGCCCCTGCCATGGAAGTCCTACTCACTGCCTTCACGGGGCCGGGGTGTTGTTTACGAAAATGAGAGGACGAAAAGCGAATGTCTGGCGCTTTAATCGGATCCCAAACCAATGGTGCACATGGGCTGGCTCCAGTATCCTGAGGGAACAAGTGGCGTATGAACCAATCGTTGGTCACCGGCTACCATGGGACTGCATCTCCTCACGATGCTCTCCATTGCCTTGTGGGTCAGACATTCAGGTCGAAGGCTCGGGGTGTGGCCCCCTAAGAAAACCATCTGCTTCGGATTGGGCACCCGAGCAGTATCACAGCCCTCACACAAATCAATTGAGATTCGTGTGGCGCATATGTATTTGGTGCCTCCTTGTACCAATACCTATGTGTTAAAATAAATAAATAAGTCAGTCAAGGTAGTTTCAGTATTTTGCTAAATATACTTTTCTTTTACCAAAACCTTTTCCCAGTTTTTTCTTTCTGTTTGATTCGAAATAGATGCTCTCCCTGAAGAACCTTACCAGCAGAATTCGTGGTCACCGTATGCTCCATCGTGATCGCAAAATTATCCAACGTTTCATAAACCATTTGTGTATAAAATATAAATATATAAGTATATAGCGATTAAGTGATCTTTTTTACTATCATATGCCAAAGACTATTTTACTACCATCTTAGATATAGCTTTTAAGCTTGACTGTACACAAGCGTAATCTATACAATTACTTAGAAAACTAAATAGTAGCACCTGAAATCTACCTTAGTACTGAGGTATATACATTTCGTTTGAAAATTTGACTAGTTTTGATGTTAACCAAATCTTAAGATTATTAATAAGTTACCAAAAGTCTGTGTCTAGGCGAAGCTGGCGAAAAATTAGTCTCCGTATAACCAAGGCTTCAATAAATCTTAGTATACGTCCTTGAAGGCTTTTGTATAACACTACAAATGCTGATTTGATGTCGACCTTATGACCCGTCTCAATCAAATGTTTCGTTGCGAACTGAATGCATCATTGGACTATTTTCAACGTTTATGGACAAAAAACATATTCTGAATGTGGAAACCCCGATGAGGTGTAATTCAACTTTGAAAAAGAAAATTAACCATTGAACCAAGTAGCCCTAGTTTTTCTAGCTCCAATTTAGTGTACACAAAGTGGAATATGAGTGTTCTATAACTGAATTCTAAAAAACAAGTGCAATAAAGTTCATGCTAAAAGTTATACATCGATACTCAAGTATATCACAGAATGGTTTATTTGAAAATGCTAGACACGGAATGTACGTACAACGCGGACAATGCTTTGTCTACATAGTGGGCATTCAGTCAGCTTTCTTCCGCAATCAACACAAGAAAATAAATGACCACATTCTAAAAAGACACAATTAATTGGAGCTTCCATACAAACCCCGCATTCATCATTCAAATCAACTGGACATTTCTCACTCGATGTTCCAGCATTCTGACAATCTTCAAACTCTACTGCTTCTTGAGTTTCAAGTATGACTGTAAAGAGAATATATAAAACAAATTGATCAGTGTTTGTATGGACATTATTACGGATTCTTATAGAATTGTGATCTGTCTTTTTCACAAATAAACAAAAATCGATATTGACACTATTTCTACATGTAGATGGATGTGGATAACAGCAACTTAACATCGCAATCCCTCAGAACGTATTTTTGTCCTAATCAGAACTATTACTAACAAAGTGCATTGCTGTAAGCATTCCTTAGGAGATGACTATGGTTCTCTGAAAATCTTCAGCTCAGAGACCCTGAATTATATCTCCTTACTTTGCCTGATGTGTTGTACAGAGCCTCCGAAATACTGGTGTTTTTCAGACGCTCGTGCTTAGCAGACAATCTTAGGGCAAAATCCGGTCTAACGAGCAGAAAATGTTCCTGATGTTAATTCATGCTTGTTGCTCTGTGAAGTCTTTCACGAGACGAATTTTATTTTTTCTACACTCACAAACGCATTGTTTGAAGCTCACGTAACCGAGTACGTTAATCTGATCAAGGGTTTCGAATTTGATATGATTACCCTTCATGGAGGTTTACGAGTAGAATTTGAAGCTGAGTATGATGTTTAAATACGTATATTGATTAGCTTTATGCGGTTTCCATAAATCATCACTAAGGTCATAAATGAATTTTTCAACATTGGGACTCACGTGGTTGTTGCTGTTTGTGATTGCGCCATAACTGTTTCGCTCTGGCAATAAGTTCAGCTTTTTCCACACAATGAGTGAAGTCAACAAAATTATAGACTAAAAGATCTTTGATCTGACGAACAGAGAGACTTTCAATGGATTCTTCTGACATTAAGTCTTCAAGTTTAACGTTACGTTTTGTTGAGTCTGGAAACTAAGCATAAATTATATTTTCATCAAATAATAAGGTCTAGTAAAAGTGGAGATTACAGATTACTCGGCTATAAAAGTATATGCACACTGTTTAGACTTTCAATGGATATGAAAGGATATATAACATTCCAATTAAGACAGATGTTTCAGGACAAACCTGAAAGTGATAGTTCTAGGATATGAGAACAGCAATAACGTTAGACAAGTTAACTCTACAGAATGTTCTAGACGAGTTCTTTCAAGTGGTCTTATTCATCACTGTTAGTATCCTCAACGCTGTCCAGATTCTGTCGTCAGTTTATTCCTGCAATTTCCTTGAAACAGTAAATGACAGTTGGTGTTTTTTCTGCCTGACAAAGGAGCAGTGGTCGTGGTTAAAGTACAGCACCATTAACCAATAGACCATAGGTTTGAACGCGCATAAGCTTGGTAGTACTGTTAGCCTTCAAAGCCATACCAGGTAAATGAGTTGCATGCATGAGTATAGCGACCTGTAAAATTTCAGATTTAAATAACAATCATATCTGCAGGCATATTCAGCCGACAAAATTCTAGCCAGTAGGTTATTGTCGAACTCTACTAGTGCTCGTTCTTGATTACATTTTTCTATAAAATTAAAGTGAGACAACTGAATCTGTGGTATATCAATTTTAAACTAGTGAATGCAATGGCGATCTACATTTCTCTGAGTAAACAACAATAATGAAGTTTATTTTAGCAATCCAACCTCCTCTGTTGAGCACTTTATTTTAGTACATAATGTTAAGGTACGGTCATTCTTTATTTATATAGTACATAGAATTTGAAGTAAGGATCTAGCTTTACTAAAGGACAATATCTATTAAGACATACATAATTTTTCGACAAAACTGAGTACAAAACAGATTCAAGCCCAAAAAGTCCCCTAGATTCTAACATTTTCAAATATTAGAGTTATCAAGCAGACCACGCCAATAAGTATCTAACGAAATAGATTTTTAGCTTTTTGAAATCTCGAAATGATATTCGGAGGAGATTCAATTTTTCTATTGCACAGCCAATATTATTTGTGTAGAAATGAAAGTAAAAAATACGCTTGATCTGTACACTAACCACATGGTCATCAGCATTTGTACTTCGAGTGGTAATGCCTAGACTGCTCAGCACTGCATCCACAAATTGCTCTTTCTCAATCAGACCAACGGAAGGTATATTACGACGTCGCATAAACCATTTTAAATCACGGATATTCAGACCCATCACTGAATCCCAGTTAGCTTGATTTGACTGTAAAACTCTGCACCGGTTGCATAAAATTGTATGATCTGGAAAAATGCAACAAATACATTTCTAAAACATGTTACGGTAAGATCAACACTTCGGTTAAATTCTTTCATGCCACGAGTTAGGAGTGCGATATACATTGGTATGATTCGGGTGTTTGTCGCAAATATAAGACCAAATTCTTTACCTTCGACACGTTTTTTCTACAGAATAAAGCTCCGTAACTAATACAAAACCAAGATGCTTTTCTATATCCTTTTTGGATTCGAATTATTATTTTACTACTCTTCCTCACGTTCGAATTCAACTTTGTCACAGTCAGACTTGCAAAATTGCGAAAATATCAAACTTCTACTCGTTACGTAAGAACTACAGACTTCAATGTTTTTCATCAACTTAGGCAATCAGTACAGGACGGGCATATGCTAATAATCGACTGATCAATTGCAGTTTGGGCACCCGGGGAGTATCCAAGCCCTCATACAAAATGAATGATTTATGTGGCGTAAATATATTTGGTGCCTTCGTGTACCAGTGTTTATCTGTTTAAATAAATAAATTATACATAAGTGATATTCCAGTTATGCTTTCATCCTCTGAGCAAAAGTATCGAACTAAAGAGTATCGTCAAGGAATCAAATAGCTGCAACCAGTCGATTAAGTTCGCAACGTGGTCACAACTGAACTCAGAATTCTACTTCTTGGATGTTTGACTAGGCAAAACACCAGATAGATCGCTACAAAGCTTGGAATATAGAAAACCAAACAGTCGAAAGAAAAACTTGTTTCACTTTATCCGCGAATGTCAGACAAAAATGTACCACCGACAGACTGGAAAGAAAGATATCTCATCAAGATACCGAAGGAAGGAGATCTGATCAAATGTGAGAACTATAGAAGCATCATACTACTATCAATACCAAGAAAAGATTTCAACAGAGTGTTGTTGAAACGAATGAAAGACTTAGTGAACGCACAACTTCGAGATAAATAGGCTGGACTTCAATCAGTCAGTGCCCCCAAATGCCCTGGTACGGCCGAAAGTGGGGAGAGTCCGCTCTCTCTCTCGAAATGCTCTTACATGGCCACGCGTATATGGCTCTTACCAAGGAAGTCCTACTCACTGCCTTCTCGGGGCATTACTATTGTTTACGAAAATGAGAGGACGAAAAGCGAATGTCTGGCGCTTTAACCGGACCCCAAACCAATGGTGCACATGGGCTGGCTCCAGTATCCTGAGGGAACAAATGGCGTATGAACCAATCGTTGGTCACCGGCTACCATGGGACTGCATCTCCTCACGATGCTCTCCACTGCCTTGTGGGTCAGACATTCAGGTCAAAGGCTCGGGGTGTGGCCCCCTAAGAAAACCACCTGTTTCGGTTTGGGCACCCGAGCAGTATCACAGCCCTCACACAAATCAATTGAGATTTGTGTGGCGCATATGTATTTGGTGCCTCCTTGTACCAATACCTATGTGTTAAAATAAATAAACAATCAGTCTGTCACAACGAGGAACCTGTACGTGTTTACATCACTTTCAGTTGCCATACCCAACAGAGAGATGAAATTGTCAGGTCGAATTGCGGAATAGCACAGGTGGTAAGTGTCAATGTTAATAGGGAACATCACGTATCGAAGACACGACTCGAAAATAAATTATAAACTAGCGAATTAAAAACATAAAAGTCATGAGGAATTTAGAATCTCAGAATTTGTGGGAAGACAAAGAATGGATGCACCTGCGCCATTACAAATGATTTTGGGTCATATTATTAAAAGTCTCCAACCATTGGTTACGATAATCACGCAGACCCCAACCAAGTAGCCTACCCCTATTAACATGGCTAAGTCTAGTGACTTCATAGACTGACGCTATGTTTTGGTTTAGCCTCCCTCAACTTTCTTTCAGCATACTCCTACACCGGATCGGCATATGTAACACGTCCTAATCACCTCAGTTGATGAAGATTTCCTAATCCAGGCACTGCTTACTCCGTGGTCCCAAAATGCACAAGCAATGTTTCAAAGATTCCTATGATCGAATACCAGTAACCTACGAATATCCTCTACTCTCAATGGCCATGTTTCACATCCATAAAGTAGAATGGAGAGAAAATTGAGTAATTATTCCGACATTCAATGATAATTTTTTTCATATTCATTAAATAGATAATTATCTATCGTCTTTAAACTGTCTGCATCTTAACGTATCCTCATTAGGTACTAGATTACTACATAACTTCCTTTCAATATTTGATATTCCTAAACAATTCATGACGCAATACAAATTATGATAAATATGTTAAATTATGCAACACCTTGTTTTATTATACACTATCATATTCGATATTTAAAACATTTGATTACTGTTGATCACTTTTTTAGGTAACACAACACCTTATTTCACTATAGACCATTATTTTCAAAAATTAAAGATAAATGCAACTTTCTAGCTAAATATTGTCAAAAAGACATTTTTTAGATGAATTGTTTTAATTCTTTTCTATCACACAACCAGTTTATTTAGTTAATTTCACCGACACGACAGTTATAAGCATAATTCAATTATTAAAATGACTATTGGAATAATAATCAATGAGAATACAAACAATAATGAGAACAATTCTACAAACTCTCTAAATAATCTGGAAAACGAATTTATAATACTGAACAGCTAGTCACGTATGATACTAAATATTGCTCATTTAATAAAATTAAGCTTATTAATCTGCAGAGCAAGCAATTAAAATAATATAGTGATAAACAACAAATCAATGATGAAAATGAAAGGTCAATTCCTACCTTTCTTACTAACGTGTAATTAGCAACGATACAAACAGCTACCCCAAACAATAACAAATCAATAGAGTGTGATCGAAGTTATTGTACAATTGAGAGTAATGTCTGGATATTACTTCTGAATCGATCAATGCTATCCAGGAGAAACACAGATTTTAATCAAACTGCAACCGAATAAGACCAACTGGCGAGCTAACGAAAAACAGAAAATTCCACCCATCATTTCAATCCCGTTTTCTAAGGTTCACATTCTGATACCCTAATCAGTTTATTAAATGTAAATACTATTGGTCACCAACAATTTACAATTATCTTTGAGCTTACCTACTTAATATCCTGAAGAGTAACATGCTAGTTAGTCTTCGATCTAGCTGTTTTAATGACAGAAATAATGGGAGTGAATCTATATTGCCAGTTGTTCTATAAACTTTATTAATATCTTTGATTAGTTAACTGGGTTGCACCATTGATTAATTAGCTCGTTTTTATATAAGTTTTGTTTTTCTAATACGTACTTAATTGGCAAGAAGTTTTGACTTTTGAACCCGGTCTACTTGAGAGTCGGGGTTCAGTCCTGAGGGAAGATTATCTTTTCGATTACCCTAATCAACAAGTGATTCGAGAAACATGTCTCACAGCTTTTTATCTGACCAATTTCTCGTTATTGTAAGCAGATCACTTACTTCAATTTAGATAAGATGAATCGTGTGGCGCATATATATTTGGTACCCCCTTGTACCAATATTTATGTGTTCGTATAAATAAATAAATCGGCTAGCACTAATCTCTTTAGGTACACCTACACAAAATGCTGGTAACTGAGTCTCTAATGTTGTTTTGAAGTGTATGCTATTTAGGACGCTTATACTTAATACGCTCAGATGTTAAGGTAGCGTTTTGTATGAATATACATGACATCTGAACTGAAATCTTAAGTTTTTGGTGAAATCCCTACAAGTTTCATTATAATACGCCCAAAAATTAAATTTGTCAATAAAAATTATTAGGCGTCCGAGTTTCCAAGCATCAAGAACTTAATAACACACTGATATAAAAAAGCTGATGAAACATATTTTTAAAATATTTATATCCTAGCTCAACTTATTAAAAACTAACTCATACTTCGGTCCAACCAAATCACCATTTAACCTACCTGGACCAGTTGAAGAACAGTCTGAACAATATAATTCATTACACGACTGGCAAATGCCAGAACCAGCTTCTGGAAGAGTAAATTTCTTCGGGCAGGCTGAACAAGTGTTGGGCATAAGTTTTCGAATGAATGAGAACGTCCGATGTGTCAGTCAAAAAGCAGTTTTCGTATTCAGGTATAGTTCTCCTTATATTGTATATCCACATATTCATATAACATGGTAAAAAACGTCACTGAAGTAATTAAATATAAAGTGGGGTTTTTACTAATTACTTACATAAAGCCACAATTATCCCATAAATTCATAGTGATTTTGAACGAATTAAATCTATTTTTCTAAAATGACTTGATTTCAGTCGACTATCCCCAAAGGGGATCGAACGTATGTCTACAAGTTCTTTACAAGCTACCATCGAATCCTAGATATGATGCAACAACAAGTATGTACAAGAAATTCCCATATCAATTAGGGTCTATCAGTTCAGTCCCATACAATTAATAATGTAAAAGTTTGAACTTGCATAAAATTTAATCTACTTTGTAGCAAATCAAACTGATACACAATAGTGGCAAGTCCTAATTAGTCTATTACTAACTGGCTGTTTGAACAAGTCCTTAAGGTGTGCTTGCAATACATGTTCTTTAGTGTCATTGTAGTGTACCTGGATTTTATATTCTTAATAGTAACCAAATGTTTACATGCTGCGATATTTCATTTTGAGACCATAAAGTATACTCCAAACATTTCTCAGTGAATTGAAATATAGACTGAAACGAATATATTTGGTGATGTTTATTGAAGCTTCTGCACAAATGACTAAAAATGAGGTGAAAGATTGAAGTATATATCACCCTGGTCCAGAATTACGACCCAATCAGTTGGTTATCACTCAAATAACCGTGTATACAGACAGAAAATTAATCATAGAAACGGTATGCGAAATCGTAAAAAGTAAATTCATAACGACAATAACTTACAGACAAACCGCATTGATGCATTTGGGATTCCCGTACGCCTACGGAATCGATAAATTTAAATGGTGTTCGTCGTAAGGGTTTGTAGTAGGCCCATTCAACTATTGTATTATTCGTCTACTCACTGTAATTTAGACACTTACTCTACTATGTTAATTTTTTTATGAATATGACCGAGCGCGTATCTGCACATCAATCCTTAATCTATTCTCCCATTGGTTGTAACACACAGATAACCAATAATTTATCCACACTTGATTAATACTCATAAATATATATATATATATATATATATATATATATATATATGGATTTTTAGTACTGACATACACTCTTGGTTTCACTGTGTTTGCTCACTGTACGCTTGCGGATTTTACTAATCTTTAACAATAAAATATCTCTACAACTGGTGTTCAGGCTTCTGAAAAATCCCGAGTAAATTCATAACTCTAATAGGAGATTTAGCCAGCGTTAAATACTCAGTTAACGAGATATCCTTTCCTGGAGTCAGATATAGAGGAAATTTGCCTCTAGAAACTTGGCGAGCATAATTTAGAACACGCACTGTTTTTCCAAAAATTCTGCTGCATATTCTCCAATCATAAAGAACTTCATATTGGAATTACTATAACAATTATTAACAATTTATTGACAGTCAATAAATTCACCCATAAGTTTGTTCCGTTGGAATTATTACTGTATATTCGCCTATTTTTTTCAGTGAGTCTCATATATATTTCCTGTTGTTATTTTTGACTTCTTCATATTGTATGTTTCAATCCTCAGCTTATTATTGCAATTGATATTATTTCTTCGTATCATGTCACTTGATAATTCACCAAGCCTTTCAGCTAAGTCTATTTCCGTGGGTGCCATTTCTGTACCTTTACCTGTCTTCAATCCCCGAAAGGCTGAACTCTGGTTTGCACGCTTAGAAAGCTTTTTTGTTGCAAACAGAATCACAAATCAGAAAATAAAATTTAGTTATGCAAACTCATTGCTGCCGGATGACGTTATTGAACAAGTGCCTGACGTCATTTTTAAGCCGGATCCAGACTCACCATACGATTGTCTAGAAAGAGAGGTCATTCGTGTTACATCTCTCATCGACCAGCAGACAATTGATCAACTTTTAGCTAATGTAGAGCTAGTTGACAATACACCATCTCAATTAAAAAGCCACATGACAAATTTATTGGGGAATCGTACAGTAGATAAACGTCTATTATATCAATTGTGGCTCAGACGTCTCCCACAAAACATCCAACAGATACTAGCACTTGGAGACGAAAATGTCAATTTGGATTGGCTAGCAGACATAGCGATAGAATTTACGAGCGGACTAGGACTCATTCCCTATCTCACATACAATCAAACTTAACTGACGAGATTTCCGAGTTACGACAAACAGTCGAACTCCTCACTAAACAGATAGCCCAGCTCCAATTTTTGAATACCTCCCACTGCAAGTGTAGAGGAAGGTCCAGAAGCCGTAGACGTCGTAGTCCAAGCACCAATCGACATAATTTTTGTTGGTTATTTATTTATTTATTTTAACACATAGATATTGGTACAAGGAGGCACCAAATACATATGCGCCACACGAATATCAATTGATTTGTGTGAGGGCTGTGATACTGCTCGGGTGCCCAATCCGAAGCAGATGGTTTTCTTAGGGGCCACACCCCGAGCCTTTGACCTGAATGTCTGACCCACAAGGCAGTGGAGAGCATCGTGAGGAGATGCAGTCCCATGGTAGTCGGTGATCAACGATTGGTTCATACGCCATTTGTTCCCTCAGGATACTGGAGCCAGCCCATGTGCACCATTGGTTTGGGATCCGATTAAAGCGCCAGACATTCGCTTTTCGTCCTCTCATTTTCGTAAACAATAGTAATGCCCCGAGAAGGCAGTGAGTAGGACTTCCCTGATAGGAGCCATGTACGCGTGGCCATGTGAGAGCATTTAGAGAGGGAGAGCAGACTCTCCCCACTCTCGACCGTACCAGGGCATTCGGGGGCCTATTTGTTGGTACCATAAAACGTACTATAAACAAGTCAAAAAGTGTACTCCCCCCTTTAAATTTGCAAGCACACAGCAAAAAAATGTCAAGGCCGACGATTTGTGACGACTGCGGTCGCCGGCCAGAACTCTCAACACAGTCGTTCGTTATGTCACAGACAAAAGAATCGGAACACCGTTATTGATCGACACCGGGGCAAAGATTAGTGTAGTATCACCCACTACACTTGAGAAAAACACACCTGACCCCAAACTAAAACTACAAGCCGCAAACAGATCTGAGATCAAGACGTATGGCAAAAGGCAGTTACAATTAAATTTTGGTCCTAAATCCAATTTTTCATGGAGCTTCATCATAGATGACGTCCTCGTTCCCATAATCGGCATTGATTTTCTGCAATCCCATAAAATACTCGTAAATGTAAGAAATGCCCCCAAATGCCCTGGTACGGCCGAAAGTGGGGAGAGTCCGCTCTCCCTCTCGAAATGCTCTCACATGGCCATGCGTATATAGCCTCTGCCAGGGAAGTCCTACTCACTGCCTTCTCGTGGCGGGGGTGTTGTTTACGAAAATGAGAGGACGAAAAGCGAATGTCTGGCGCTTTAACCGGACCCCAAACCAATGGTGCACATGGGCTGGCTCCAGTATCCTGAGGGAACAAATGGCGTATGAACCAATCGTTGGTCACCGGCTACCATGGGACTGCATCTCCTCACGATGCTCTCCACTGCCTTGTGGGTCAGACATTCAGGTCAAAGGCTCGGGGTGTGGCCCCCTAAGAAAACCACCTGTTTCGGTTTGGGCACCCGAGCAGTATCACAGCCCTCACACAAATCAATTGAGATTTGTGTGGTGCATATGTATTTGGTGCCTCCCAGTACCTATACTTATGTGTTAAAATAAATAAATAAATAAATAAATGTAAGAAATAGGAAACTTGTCCTTGCCGATCATAGCAGTGAAATTTGAGGAATTATATCTAACGAGACGTCCATACATTTATTGATCAAACCTCATCAAGAGAATGACAAGTATGTTAGCTTAGTTAATCAGTTTCTAGACTTATTACGACCGAGTTTCAAACGGGACAAACTGACACATACCGTCGTATATCACATAAAGACGGAAGGACCACCAGTATTCGCACACCCAAGACGCTTTGACCCCACTCGTCTGGCTCTCGCAAAGAACGAATTCAACAAAATGATAGAGTTGGGTATCACATCCCTCCGATAGTCTTTGGGCATCACTGCTCTATATGGTACCCAAGAAAAATCCCGAAGTTAGACCTTGAAGCGACTACAGAGCTCTCAACAGCCGGACTATACCAGACAGATATCCTCTTCCAAATTTATATGACTTTACTCATAGTCTATCTGATGTGACGATCTTTTCAAAATTTGATCTCGTCCGTGCTTACCATCACATTCCAATTCACCCGGACGATGTTTCTAAAACAGCCATTACTACCCCATTTGGATTATACGAATTTGTTCGCATACCCTTCGGATTAAAGAATGCTGCACAAAGTTCTCAGCGTTTTATCGAACAAGTGGTACGTGGCTTACCGTTTGTATATGCTTACATAGATGACCTACTTATCTCAAGCAAAGATGAAAATGAACGTCTAACTCATCTGAAAATGCTTTTTGAGAAGCTGAACGAGTATGGGTTAGCAGCCAATCCTTACAAATGTGAGTTCGGAAAACAATCTCTTACCTTTTTAGGTCACGTACTTGATAATCAAGGCATCAAACCAGTTCCTGAGGTCAGTCAGCTGCAACGTATGACCAGGCACATATATGCATCGGTCCAAGTTGCCATACCGCATCAGAACAACAAGATGAACACCGGATTCATAGAAGTAGTTAAATCAGTGGTGGTAATATATAGAAGAAAGATTACATATAAGGAGATAGTACAGGAATAAATAATTAGTTCGTAGAAAGAAAGATATGAAGCGATTTTAGTCTCTTAGTTTAAAGGAAAACAGAGACTGTATGCACCTACGCCATTGTGATCGATTCTGAGCCATGTCACACAGAGTCTCCAACCATTGGTTGCGATAGTCACGTGGACCCCAACCAGGCAGTCTGCATCTACCAACATGGCTCAGACCAGAAGTTGGTGACTTCAAGCACTGATGCCACGTTTTGGTTTGGCCGCCCCTAACTTTCTTCCAATTATCCCCAACACCAGTGAGCATTGCGCGTCGTGGTAATCGGTGTTCAGGCATACGCAACACGTGGCCCAACCATCTCAGTCGATGAAGATTCATAACCTCATCAACTGATTTACCATCATTCCCTAATACCCTGCGTCTAACCTCACTATTACTTACCCGCTGATCCCAGCAGATGCGAGCAATATTTCTAAGGAACCTGTGGTCAAATACTAGTAACTTACGAATATCTTCTACTCTTAAAGGCCATGTTTCGCAGCCGTATAGTAGAACGGAACGAACTGCCGCGCAGTATACTCGTTCCTTAATTGATAGACGGATATCTCGCCTTCGCCATAGATGACGTAAGTTGGCAAAGGCCAAGCGAGCTTTTCGAATCCGTGTTGATATTTCGTTAGACACCAACCCATTAGGGCTAATCAGACTTCCAAGATAAGTGAAGTTGTCAACGCGTTCGACTACTTCACTCCCTATCCTTAGTTCAGGTGTTGACGCAGACCAGTCCTGAAGCAACAACTTGCATTTAGAGGGAGAGAAGCGCATCCCAAACATTCTTGCATTGTTGCTCAGTGCTACCAAAAGACTGCATTTTATCAGCGTCTTCACCAAACAGGACTATGTCATCTGCGTATTCTAAGTCAATAAGTGGACCTCCTGGTAGGAGATCAATACCCGAGAAGTCAGTTGATGAGAGCGTTGTTTCCATCAGTAGATCTATGATGAAGTTAAACAAAAATGGAGAAAGTGGACAGCTTTGACGGACACCACTTGAGGTTGCGAAAGCAGATGACAGTTCGCCATAAGCTCTGACTCGACTAGTAGTTGTCGAGTACGTTCAACTCCCAGATTTTAGCTGAAATATTAGTCAACATAGTCGCTAGAATCGAACCACCATTCTTAAAGACCTTTGAAGCCAATCCATCTGGACCAGCTGCCCTTCTTCGTTTTAGATTAACTATAGCCTTTTGAACTTCAGCTAGAGTTGGAGGACCTACTTCAATGTTCCATTCACACTGTCTGGGAA